AACTAACTTTTCCGTTGTCGGTGCTACTGTAGTTGACGTTGTCGCAATGGTGACTCTTTGTGTCACATATGTTGGACCTCGTTGCGATTCCTTTTCTGGACGCGATGCCATACGCACTGACGCTGCGACAGCATTCTCAGCTTTTCGCACATCAACTTTTTTCAGCGAGTCCTTTCTTTTGTCAGTGAACGGACGCGTTGACGTTTTCTTGTCAGTTCTTTCGCCCTCTTCTTTTTCGTCGTCATCCATACCAAAGAGTGTACTCGTATCAATATTCAGTGGTGTCACGCCTCCATTACTAAATTTCATTTATAGCTCCACTAGGATCTGCAAAGCTAATGTGACGTACGGATATCGCATGGATGAATAGCCGAAGTTGGGTGGAGGCTGCTCCCAGCTGTCATCAGAAAATAGTCGACGTGTGGTGGTGGTTGACATGCGTGGGCCCTCAGTCACTGTAACCCATATATTTGTAACGGAAAATACTACGCATTCGATAAGATATTTGCACGAATTGAGTATTGATGTTTTGAGTATATCACCACTTGCAACTTTCTACCTTCGTTCTTCTATTGGTTAGTAAAGCACATCTGACAGTGATAAATGATGATACACCGGATAAATGAGCCATGGCTGAGTTTACTTTGACTTTTTTTTCCAATTGCAATAATAACGTTGATTTATGTTTACGATTATGAACAGATGCATTACAATACGATCACAGGTAAATCATCACAGGTTTTCTTCCATTTCGGACAGTGCGGCCCACCGGTGGGTAAGCTTCCTAAAGCTACCGATTCTGTTAGTTTACGATGGAAGTTTTCGGTCAAATTGAATAGACTTCCATTACGTCTCTCCGAATACTTTGCGAAAGGTTGACTCTTCAGATCACAGGGCCCATCAGTGGGCAGAAAATTACACAAACTCGACTTTGCGAAATACGCTCTGGTCCGAACCGAAGTACTTGAGAAATCGGCTTGTCGTAAATGTGTTAATAGGGCACTGCGCAGAGGTTGCAATTGCAATAAATGATTTGAAAGTGCAATGTGAACATTTTTGGGAAATTGGCAAACCCTAGTAGGGGGCTGCGCTGAAAGCTGAGAGCTGAAAAATTACCAAAAGCGTCTTCTAACAAAAACGCTGCTGGTGCGTCAACAAGACGACACAATCTACAGGACTTATCGCTCTTGAGCAAGCTTAGGAGTACAGTGACGAGGAGACTTAATGAACTTGGTTAACCTATTATTCTTTGTCCTGAGAGTAACTGTACAAATGTTCTGCAACTCTGTTCTAGGAGATTCTCAAAGTTGCGAGACCAAATTGTCTAGGAAAAGTGCTTTGTACTTGTGAGGCTAAAAGATACGCAGGCACTGAGATCTTCACGAAGAACAATCTATGTTCGAGTACTATATTGGAAAATATATATAAAATATTACCTTCTTTACTACTTTGCCTATCAACCGCTTGTATCGGAACCACTTCGACCGAAACATTTTCTGGCTTTTCATCATGGTAATCCTCTTCTTTCTCATCTTCGTATTCTTCCTCTTCACCGCCTTTTCCGTAATCGGAGTGTGTACTTGTAATCATCTTATCCGCAGATGTAGCAATTACGGCGGGATCAAGACTAGTAATCATCTCCTCCGTAGTTGTAGTAACCACAGTGGAATCCGGTGTGCTTTCTGTGTGATGTTTCGGAAAAGAGCGTATAGACGTTGTGGATAGGGAAGAGCTTGTTCTTGATGCAGCAGAAATTGAATGAGTGGATTTGGTTGGCAATGTTTTCAATGAAGGTGAAGACCAGTTGTCTTTCTCTGGCGTGGGTTTAATAAGCGAAGAAGATGTTGGTTCCGTGGACTCATCAAGTAGTTCCTTTATGAGCGTCGTAAATTCCTAAAACATTTATCAGTGAGCTAATAATGGAAAGGCCACGGTCATGGATCTGCTCCTCAGGCATATGGAATACTCATCCTCTTTACCCGCGGCATCATCAAACCACATAGTTTTGGAGCGAATGAAGTGGATAAGCATGACGTATACCTACAGTGCTCCTAAACTGCAGAGTCGTTTGCACCAGCGACCGCGCGACCGCGTCGCGCCCGGGGCCTCGATCGAT